AGGGTGGAGAAAACAGTGCAACAATGAATGAATGAAAACCCAAAATCTCTGTAAATGTTCATTAAAACTAATAAAATTTAATTATAAAAAAGAAAAAGATTAAGGGGAAAAAAAAAGAGACCCCTAGGTAGCTCAGAGGCTTCCCAGTGATCAGATGGACCTCACTCCTATAGCTGAGGAACTACCTTCAGGACACAGCTGCCTTAGCCCTGTGACCTGCAGCAAGCCTCCACAGTTCCTCCCACACGCAGGCCCAGCAACCTCCCTCACTGCAGCCCTGTCCCTGGTGAGTCCCTTCAAGTGCCTGAAACCTGTTGAATTTATCCCGGGGCCCACTGCTGAACTAATGTTGTTTTCTGAGCCTGCATAAGAGCTCAATATACAGAGAGGGAAGCAAGAGCAAAGATGTAAGCTTATACAAAGGAGAAAAGCACTGTAAAGGGACTGGAATCCCAGGTCAGAATTCTGAAGGAGGGAAGAGAAGGAGCCTGCAGCCACTATTCCCGTCCTTGGCCATACCTGGCAGTGGTGGTGCCAGTCAGGCATGACATCTCTCCATTCGCTGATCTCCTGCTGGACAGCGAGGAGCTCCTGCTGCAGGAAGCGCCACATGGGGCCCAGATTACAGCCATTGATCCAGTTGTGGTTGATCGAGATGGTGTCTTCCTGTAAGAGACAGGACACAGGTGAGTCCCATACCTTCACAAGTCCCCTTTCCTCACGGTTCAAGAAAACCAATCAGTTCCCATGGGGCCAGGCCCTGTGACATAGTGCCCTATACAATGTAAGGTCTGGAAAATGACCAGAGGCCCAGCCCTCTTCAGTCAAATGGCTCCATCTCCTAAACTTGGTTAAGGAGAACAGAGGGAGCTGGGACTGGGGTAATCTAGTCTATAGCTAACTAATCTCGGGGAGACTCCCTGAGGCTCTAAGTGCTGGCCCAGTGTATATGGGTGCAGGGAGCCACAAAAACATGGGACAATGCCACCGCGGGTGTATTTGCATGTATACCACTGGCCCAGAAAAGGAATGTGGGAGGGGAACACAGAGACTGGAAGGACCTCAGCAATGCTGTGTTCATGAGCCTTATGTCTTCATAAAAGGGCTGGCTAGTTGTTGGCTCTCCCTATGGGAAGGCCTGCTTACTGTGGGATTAGGGAGAAACAGCAGGCACTGCCTTGTCGTGGGTACCAAGGGTTTTCTAAAGGAAGGCATCCAGGACAGGTGCTGAAGAAGAGGTACATGTAGGGTGGGGTGCATAGCAGAGGGAGACACATATGAAAATGGCAGATGGACTTACCAGGTTGTGGACCTGGTGGTGCCATCCACTGGGCACGAATACCATCTCGCCTGCCTCCTGCGTAACCTCCAGAGGTGCGCTGCAATGTGTACGTGCTGGGTGCAGGCGGACATCAAGGAGCGTGGGAGAGGTTACATCGTAGGGCAGGCCACCATGGCAATCCCGCAGGGCTTCTTCCTGCCCTGGTGGAAACAAGAACCACCTTTTCCTCCCACAGATGTTGACGGACCAGCTGAAGGAGCGCAAGATGTCAGCATGGAATGGTGACCTGTGGCGAGAGCTCCTGGTTCATGCCCGCTGGCGTAGGGATGACCTTTATTTCTTTTGGAAGGGACTCATTCTAGCTTATTGAGCTCACTATCCTAAAGGTCTCAGAATAAAGTGGGGTGGTTGTTGTTGGTTGGAACAGACTTATAGATAACCCTCTAATGGCTTTCAGATGCTGTAAATCCTATGGGAGAATACTGCCCATCTTTAACCCATACAGCAGCTGGTGGATTCGAACTGTGTACCTCTGCACTGGCAGCATAATTCCTTGGCACAAAAACTGAAACTTTTTGTTTTATAATTGTGCTAACAGCCTATGAATTGAAAGGTAAAAACAGACTAGTATTTTATTGGAACTCTGGTGGCCTAGTGGGAAAGAGCTGTGCTATGATCCAAAAGGCCTGAGATTCAAATACACCAGCTGCTCCAAGGGAGGAAGACTGGCAAACTCTGCCGCTGTAATTTATTGCCTCTTACAACCCACTGGAAGGTCAGCTATGGGTAGGTTCCAACACGACGACACATATCAACAACCAACAACAAAGTAGGGTAGCCCTCCTTATTAATGTGAGACAAGGCTCCCCAATGCTCACAGCTCTCGCGTCTGTGCTAAGGAGTTCTTCTGAGAACCGTGGCTTGCAAGTCAGGTGGGTGGGCCATATCGCCAAGATTTGACCCACCAGAATGATGGCAGAAGCTGTACAGACTCGAAAGAAAGAGAGAAAGTGGTCTGAGTTAGACAGGAAGGACTTAGGATGCCGCACTCAGTCCAACTTTATGTCCTAGCTAATGGGACTCTCCAAGAGGTTCGGAATAAGAGGTGACACACTGGTAGGGAAGCCTCAGGCAGACTCCAGCAGATAGAAAGGAGGGCAGACCCCAGAGCCCTGGAGCAGTTGGCAGACTCCCAGCATTACCAGGTGCCTGCAGGGCCCATGTAGACAAAGCGGTAGTCATCCACATCGATGGCGTCCCAGTACTCGTTCAGCCAGTCTGAGGAGAAGTACACAGGCAGGGAGTACACACCCTCTGCTGAGGTATTCCTGTGGAAAGAACCACACACGTATTTTTGCAGAAACAGCTCCTGAAAGCATCGTCCCTATGCTGGTGCCACATTGACCCTGGGCTCAGCTATCATCTGGTTTTAGTCACGTGTCGGCAAAGTATAGCCAAACAGCTTTTTCAGAGGGCATGCCAGCAGTTCTCTCTTCACTGCCAGGTGAGTAATCTCATGGCTGGTGACAGCCAATGCCAAGTGCCAGTTGTGTGAGCGGGGCCATCTTAGACCACTAAACCCTAACTGAGCCACTAGCTGACAAGCCCTAAGACATCCAGAGAGACCTGGTAAAGAACGGCTTAGTGAAGCCCAGATTAGACTTCAGGGACACAGAACCAGGAACAAATAAGATGGCTTTGGAGTTGTTTTGTTACATGGCAATAGATAACTGATGTTTTAGATCTTTCTGGTACCAGTTCTATGATTTTAGCTTTTGGTTGACTTGGTGTTCCTTAATGCACTGCACATTATATTTATTTTCTTGGCCGTGTGGCCCTCCGTGGCTTCTTCACTAAGAGCAGTGAACTCCACCTATCCCTTATTGATGAGAGGCTGTGGGGGCAGGCTGAGGATGGCCCACTCCTCAGAAATACTTTCTGTTCCAAGCTGACCCTTCCCCTACCTCCTGGTCCATCCCCTGAATCCAACAAACAGGCACCCAAACACAAGAATCGGCTTGAAAAGTCTCTTGGAAACAAACACACAACTTTACAAATGCTCTGCTGATAAGTTTCTGGATAAAACCGAATTCACAGCCACTGAGTCACTGTGACCCATAGCAGTGCTACTGGACTGAGGAAGAAACTGCCTTACAGGGTTTCCAAAGTTATAAATCTTTACAGTAAGCAGCCTGCCTGGCAGGCTCAAACTGCTGACCTTCTGGGTTATAGCTCAATGCTTAATTCACTATACCCCAAGAACTCCGTGTTTCTGAATTGTTTTTGTTAGGTGCCATCAAGTGACCTCTGAACAACAGATCTGAAAGTTGCTCCACTCTACTCCATCCTTTTGATTGCTGACATGTTCAAGCCCACTGCAAGTCACTACGTTAATCCATCTTGTCAAGTTTCTGAATTAGCGCACATATAAATCTTGGCCAGAGGCAAAGATAGGGAAGCGCTCCAAATCATTTGACGTTCCCCAAAATACTATGCTGGTCCCTTTGCCTGGCATGCTTTTGAGCATCTTCAAACTTTTTTTCAAAATTCTGCTCAGATATTACGTTCCTCGTAGTCTCTCCTGACTGCCTCATCACAGGCTTTCCTCTTTTAATTTATTTAGCTACTAGCTCCGTCTAACATACTTCGGACATGTTGTGAGGAGAGACCGGTCCTTGGAGAGGGACATCATGCTCAGGAGGGTGGAGGGACAGCGCAGGAGGAGAAGGCCCTCTATGAGGTGGATTGATTCAGTGACTGGGATAATTGGGATGGGAGTGTCAGAGGCAGTGCGATTGGCACAGGACAGAGTGGAGTTTGGGGCTGTTGTACATAGGGTCACTATGAGTTGCAAGCGACTTGACGGCATATAACAACAAACAACAACAACTAGTCAAAACCAAATTTTGAACAAACAGCAGACAATATTCTAGTGTAAGATACCCAATGACAGGTTATTGTTGTTAGGTATCATTGACTAGGTTTTGACTCACAACCACCATATATACAAACGCCATCTGACCCTTGATCATCCTCACAATCTGTTGTGCTGGCTAACCTTCTTGTGGCTATTGTTCAGTTTTCCTCTTCTTTTTGCTGATCCTCAACCGGATCAAGTACAGTATCTTTCTCCAGGTACTGACTCCACCTGAGGGTCAGCATGCCCAAAGTATTTGAGACAAAATCTCATCACTTCCATTTCCAGGCAGCATTCTGGCTGTAATCTTTCAAATTGGACAGATTTGTTCATTCTTTTGGTATATATGGCAGGGATATATTCAGTATTCTTCCCCAACACCACAAGTCAAAAGCATCAATAATTCTTTGGTCTTCCTTGTTCATCATATAACTTTCATATTCATACGACACCATAGAAAATACCGTGGTGTGGTTCAGATCCATCTTAGTCCTCCAAGTGGCATCCTTGCCCTATGTCACTATAAAGTGATACTTTGCAAATTTGCCAAATTCTGTGTTGTTTGATTCCTAGATGCCTGTCCTGCTGCTTCTATGAGTATTGACTGTGGATACCTATGAAAATTCTATGGAGCACAGTTATACTCTAAAACAAATTCTTTTTCTACAAGGTGGAATCTACTAAAGGCAACTGAAATCCACAGAGCAAGACAGTGTTTGAGTGTATGTGTCTGTTGCAAAAACACAAACTCAGAAACCGGACCAGTGCCTGGTTGGGCCTTATACATAGTTTAACTAGGTAAGCTCTCTCTGCCAAAACTGTGTGATGTAGCCCACCACTGGGTATGTTACAAGATGAGGGTCAACTCAACCCATTGCCTTTAAGTCAGAATTAACAGGTGGCTGACCCTCCTGTGGGTTTTCAGAGACTGAAAAATCACACAGAAGAAGACTAGCCACCTTTCTCCCATGGCACAGCTGTTGGACCTGAACTGCCAACCTTTGGCTGGTAGTGTAACTCCCTACCCATTAGGCCACCAGAGCTCTCTATGAGATGAGAGTACTGGGTGATAAGTAGTAGCTTATCATGCACTACTAGGTAGGTCCTAGAAATCATAATCACTGGAATTTGGATTCCATGCTCATTTTACTTTTAAGCCTTAGTTTCCTCATCAATAAAACTGGAATTCAAAAGCCTTGGGTGAAGAAATGGATACAATACTCAATTACAGAGAGTGGATGTTAAGCTGGAGTTTCTAGGGGGAAAGGTTATGGGAAGACATTTCCTATTCATGAAAATGAGATGAATTTCTCAGGTTGGGCATTGTTTGAGCTAGTTCTTGAGGAGTAAGCGAAGTGTGAAATCCCAGGGATGATGTGATAGATGAGGAAAGACTATGAAACGGCCCTGGTCTTGCCAGTGGTGGTGATTTTGAATACAGGACAAGACACAATCCTGTTGTTGTTGCTGTTATGTGCCATCGAGTCGCTTGTGACTCATAGCAACCCTATGTACAAGAGCCCTAAATGCTGTTCTATCCTGTGCCAACCTCGCCGTCTCAAACACACTCATTCCCACCACTCCACTACAGAACTGATCCATCTCATCAAGGGTCTTCCTCTCCTGCACCGTCCCTCCACTCTGCCAAACATGATGTCCCTCTCCAATGTTCGTCCCTCCTTGCAACATGCCTAAAGTATGTCAGACGAAGATTCAGAATTCTTGAATCCAAGGAGCATTCCGGCTTCACCTTCCCCAGGACAAACCTGTTTGTTCTCCTAGCAGTCCATGGTATATTCAACACTCTTCTCCAGCACCACAACTCAAAGGCATCAATTCTCTATCATCTCTATTCACTGTCCAACTCTCCCATGCATAGCACGTAATTGCAAAGAATATAGCCTGGATCTAGTCTCTAGGCTGACATCGTTACTCTTCAGTACTCTTGAGAGGTCCCTCACAGCTGACTTTCCCAATGCAATTCGTCTCCTGATTTCCTGGCCACTGTTACCAAGAGTGCTGACTGTGGAACCAAGTAAACTAAAACTGTTAACTATCTCAATCTCTTCATCATCCATACTGATGCTGTCAATTAAAAGAACCTAGTAAAGGAAGTGTCAAGATTAGTTGTAGGGAGTTTAGAAAAGAAATGGCAGGATGTGAACTGAAAGAAAAGGGGTGGAAAAGAGAAGGCTCCAGGGACATCTGAAGGGAAGGCCTTCAGGATTCATGATTCCTTAGGTGGGACGGGTGGAGAAGAGTCCTCACAGATGCTTCTGGGCAAAAAGTATACAGAAGAGCAGCATGAAACAGTGATGGCATAAAAATATTTTATCTATGCTCAAGAGAGTGGGGTTTTTTTATACAATGACAAATTCCTAATTAGAAAACAGTTCCTTTAAGTGCGGCTAATGGTCGCTAATGCAGGAAGGCCTCAGAATTCATTCAATTCTAGGAAAAGGTCATGCCATAGTCTATGCACAGGGCTTTCTTACCTGCATAGGTGCCAGTCCTTCAGGTACAGACAGCCCTTTGGGGAGGAGTAGTTCTCCTGAATATATTCTTTCCAGTAGATGATGTAGTCTCTGAGGGGCATGTGTTCCTTGGGATTGGAGTTGTATTCCTTTACTCCACAGTTTGCAACAGGTACAATCATGTCTCCTGAAACAATAAAGACACAACGTTTGTGCTCTGAACTCTGAACTGACTTTTCTAAGTTATTCATACCATCCTGTTCTGACCTCTCCCCAGGCCACTGGTCCTCCAATTCACTGACAGATGAACACTCCAGAGAAACCACTCATATTCACACACTCACTCCCTTCGTTTGTAGCCTCTACAAATTGACCTTGCCCTAAGAGAATTTGGACAAGAGCATGTCAGGGTCAGAAGACACTAGCTCAGGTCCTGGGCTCAAGCGATGGTGCTGTGGGTTAGTAAGGAAACGCCTATGCTATGACCCTGAAGCTTTTCCATTCAGTTGTTGTTAGGTGGCATTGTCTAACTACCTCATGGTTGAACGTCCAGCAGGTTTTCATAAGTTGTAAATCGCACAGGAGGAGACCGCCTATCTTTCTCCTGCGGGGCAGCTAGTGGATTTCAGATGACTGCCTTTGGGTTAGTGGCATAACTTCTTAGCCAGAGCTCCCTTCAGTACTTACCGTAATTCTGAAGCAGATAATCAAAATTAGGCTTCCCTTCGGGTGTCACCCAGTGCTTCCTGCTGCCCCAGCTTTCAGTGAAGGCGCTGGAGAAAACACAGGGCACGTTGGGGAGTAGGAATCTCTTGAAGAAATCGGCATAAGAGAAGGCTTCTGGCTTCTCGATGAAATCCACGCAGTCAGGAGTCCGGCCGACGCTACTTGGGAGACACTCTCCGAGGCCCTGGAAGTGCTTCTCTGCAAATATGCGCGTCTCTCTGTCCATCTCAGCACCCTGGGTTCCGCATTTGTAAAGGGGGGGAAACCCTGCAACACTTCGGATGCACCAAGGAAGGTCCCAGGCTGCTCTCCGCCCAGGAAGCGAAACGGTGCTCCGCAAGGGGCGAGGGATCCAAACCAGGCTTTGACCTCTCAATTTTTTAATCTGTATTCTACACCAGATGAAAAATTAAAGACTTGTTAATAAAAATCCCTCTTTCGGCGCAAAAGCCGTGTGCGACGCAGTCAGGAACAGAGAGGAGCGTACAGACCGCCAAAAAAGAAAATCATAGCCAGCTAAAGAAGCTGAGCGGAACTACCAACCCGGAGCCGATGTTGCCACCCGACCCCAAAAGTGCGCGCGCGCGCGCCGGCCCTGGGCACATGCGCACAGTGGACTGCGGCCTCGACAGCGCAGGCGCCCTAGCGGCTCAAAGCCTCTGGTTTGGCAGATAGTCCCGGCTGATTTGTAAAGGACGCCGCGCGGCTGGAATTGTCAAACATTGTCAGCTTTGGATCTCCTGTCTTCAGGTTATCCGCAGCGCGTCAGGTAAGCAGTGTCCCTAACCTGTCAGTTAGTTATGTCTGTGCACGAAGCCCTTGCGGCCCTCCCTCGACACAGTCCCCTTTGCTGCCGTTGCCACGGTGATGTCTGGGCTCGTCTTCCCAGTGCCTCTGGGTCTGGCGAAGGTAAGAAGATGGGGAAGGGTCTGGAGAAGGTGGAGTGCAGACAAGGAAGAGAAAGATCCAAAGGTGGAGTTCTGGAGAATAGTGGCAACCTGCAGGTGCTGCTAGGGGCGGAGGGAAATGATGAAGACCTGGAAGGGTTGCTTGAAGCCTCGGGGAATTTGGGGACCTGGAGGGGCTCCTGGGAATCTAGGGTAATGGTAGGGACCTGGAGAGCTTCTGGGGGCCCTCGAATAGCGATGGGGACCTGGAGGGGCTGTTGAAGAAGGGACAAGAAGCTCCTGGAAGAGGAGTCTTTTTTTGACAGGACCATATCAGCTGACCCGAAGTGGGCGGGACATCTGTATAGGAAGAGCTGGCAGGGCAGGATCTCAACTTCTTGAAGAAATCAAATCTTGCAAACACAAACATATCAACATCATTACAGAAAAGGGGAAAACCCTCCACATTTTGCGCGTGCGCGCGCGTGTGTATGTAAGCTTGATATATAGTATGTATGTAGGTAGACTGCGTGTGTTATAGTACAGTCTGAGCAGAATTTCACACATTTTTATACTGCAAAGTAAAAGAATGAACCCCTAAAACCTCTTATCTCCCTGAAAGAATAATAGGCACGCTTTGTAATAGTTTCCTGCACATCTCATGAGAGAGTCTGAGTTAATTTTGGAGCTATGTGTTTACAGTTCTGACTCAGGCCTTGCATCTGCAGACTAGGTTTAACTCATCCTGAAAGACTGACCAATTGTGTGTTTAAGGGGACAAATGTCTCATCTTTATGAAATAAAAATTATTTTATTTATCCTTAAAAGTGAGATAAAATCCACCAGCTGCTCCATGGGAGAAGGAGGACTTTCTCCTGTGCAATTAACTGCTTCTGAAAACTCGATGGAGGGTGGGCAATAAGTTGATTCTGACTTGACCGCCCACAACAACAACAAAAGAGAGATAAGAAAGCATCTGGAGCATGGGGCTCTCAGAGCCTTAGAGGAGAAGTTTGAGGGAGGCCTGTTTCCAAGGGCTATGGAGTTAGAACAGGAGGATAAAAAGGAGGATCAGAAGTAGAGAAAGACAGAGGAAGGAAAGACCAAGGTCTAGGAATTTGTAGGAAATCAAGTTTTGAGTAGACTCTGAGGCTCAGAAAGATGAGACAGCTAAAGTTTGAGCCAAGAACCAAGAACATATGTCCTGTGGTACAGAGAAGCCTTTGTAGCATGTAGAGATTGTATTATTTTGTGTGTATGGTAGTGTCTCTACTCACCATGTAATTTACCATGTACTCACCATGTAGTTACCATGGAATAATTTTTGTGATAAGGATGGGACTTAATAGTCCTATCTAGAGATGATAATGTTTTAGTTTTGGTACAGTGCCAATACTACAGCTTTTTTTGGTATATATCGCATAATTACCTGTATGCATAAATGTTTGCTGTTCTTAACATTTGTTGTTGTGTTACGTACCTTTGAGTTGTTTATGACTCATAGTAACCCTTTGTACAAAAGCTCTGAACCCTGCTCTATTCTCTGTTAACCTTACTGTTCCTTTACCCCTAGTCACTGAGTCAGTACATCTCATCGAGATGCCCAAAGTATGTCAGACGAAATTCAGAATCCTTACCTCCAAGGAGCAGCTTGATTTCACCCTCTCTAGGGCGAACCTGTTTGTTTTCCTAGTGGTGCCTGGTATATTCAATAATCTTCTTCAGCACCACAACTCAAAAGCATCAATTCTCCTTCTATCATAAGTGATTGCGAAGACTCTGGCCTATCTTTTTAAAATTAATTTACTGTCAATAGCTTTCTGCATACTGATCAGATGCCCGTTTTTAGTTGAATATTAGCACTTTTGTCTTAGAGTACAACCAGAATGCTCGTTGGAGGCAAAGATGACAAAGCTTTGTCTCACATACTTTGGGCATATTGCTTGGAGAGGCTGTTTCTTGGAAAAGGATATGCTTGGAAAGGTGGAGTGTATGTGAAAGAGAGGAAGAGTCTCAACCAGATGGACTGACATAGCAAAAGGCTCAATTATGTCAGAAATGATGAGGATAGGGCAGGGTTCAAATCTATTTTTCATAGGGTTGCTATGAGTAGAACTCAACTTGACAGCACCTAACAACAACAGCCACTTTGTCAGAACATATATTAAAAGTTGGAATGATACAGGGAAGATTAGCATGGCCCCTGCAAGGTTGACTTGCAAATTTGTGAAGTATTCCATGTTTTTAAAACCTTCAACAAGATGGATTAACACAATGACTGTAATAGTGGACTTGAGTATGTCAGAAATGGTCAGGATGGCACAAGATAGGGCAGGTTTCAGATCCATTTTGGCACAGGATAGGACAGGGTTCAGATCCGTTGTTCATAGGATTACTATGAGTCATAGTCCATTCGGTGGTACTTTATAACAACAAAATTATTTGTAATGAGTGCAGGTTATGGGAAATAAATGAGAAGGATGTGAGAAACATGCTCATAGTTCTCTGGAGATTTAGAAAACGTGTTCAAAATGTACCCCATAGGGAAAATATGAAATTCAAATAGACATTGTTAAGTGGGTGTTGAGTCACTTCTTATAATCCTGTGTAGAGCAGAATGAAACAACTCTTTAACCATGTGCCATTCTCACAATCAGGTTGCTGTATTCCATCCCACTGTTGCCACTTTAACAGTATCAGCCCATCTCTAGAGGGCATTCCTCTTTTTCACTGACTCTCTACCAAGCATGATGCCCTTCTCCAGGAACTGATACCTCCTGATAACATGTTCAAAGTACGTGAGATGAATTCTTTCCATTTTTACTTTAAGAAGCTTCCTGACTATACTTCCAAAGACAGATTTGTTCATTCTTCTAGCAGCCCATAATATAGTCAGTATTCTTTTGTCAATACCATAATTCCAAGGTATTAATTCTTTGATTTTCCTTATTCATGGTTTAGCTTTTACTTGCATATGTAGAGATTAAAAATACGGTTTGGGTCAAGTGCATTTTAGTCCTCAAAGTGACATGTTTTACTCTTTTACACTTTAAAGGAATCCTTTGTAAAAGATTTGCTCAATGCCAAACACACAATGTGGAGGAATTCTAGACCTTCTGAAGCTCTGAGGTTGAGACTAAATTTCCAAAAAGGAGAAGACTTTAGACCAGTGGCCCATGTGTTTGCTCTCCAGGATTGTTGGAGGGCATCTTAATTCATAACTTGGATTAGGACATTGAAATAGAGTAACTATTTCTTGAGGCCTGACTTTGTGGTAGGTAATTTGGTGCTTTACTCTCCCTAATCCACTTGGTGACTTTCTGGTGTTGGTAGTATTATCACCTTGTACAAGTTAGGCAAGGAGAAATGCTTTAAGCATCTGATAGAATTTGGGAAAAACTGGATGGGGACTGGAACACAGATCTTGGTTACCCAAAACCGGAGTGTGGCCCCCAGAATAGCACCACTAACATCATATAAACGACACTGGATGCAAAGCACAGTCTTGGGCCCCACCCAGATTTACGGAATTTGAAAATGTGACAAGGCCCATTTGAGAATCACTGCTCAAGAGCTTGTGTCATCCCACTGAGGCATGCCACAGGAAGCCAGAAAGAACAGCAACAGGAAGGGAGTTTAGAATCCAGCACTTTGTAGGAAATACAGTAGGAATGATGTAAAATCTTAATCCTTCTCTCTGAAAAGTTAAAACGGTGGTACTTTGTAGAGCATGCCATATGAATAGGCCATGTTGTTGCAATAAAACACCCCTAAACATAACCTGTTTCAACCTCCCAGGTTGCAAATGGGAGACTCTGAGGGAGTGGAAAGAGGGATATGAGGAAGCAGGAGGTAGAAGTAATGGAAAAAGCAAAGCACCTGCTTGCCAGTTGCTGCTGTAGAGACACTGTGACTACTGTTCTGACTCTAAGCCTTCTTTTGGTCAGGAGTTACTGGAAGATGTGTAAAATGTTGCTTATTCTGTTACTTTGGAAATTAACTAAAAATAGGGTGTTTACTTGATATTGAGTCTCTCTGAAGAGACATATATGTGATGGAAATGTTGAAAGAGATCCACCATATAAATAGCAGGGCATTATTAATGCAATTCCCTGTGGCCACTGACTCCTTCTCCATCACATCAACTACTTTTGATTCACATGAAACACCGCTGGGATACAGCACCATGATTTCTCTGCTCTTAATGCAGTGCTTTGTATTTATTAGGTTGGTGGAGTTCAAGATTTTGCAGTTGCATCTGTAGCAACTGATGACAAGTAAGTACTCTAGGAGCTTAGCATAGATTAGAGAGATGAATTAGTATGTGAAGGGGAAAAAA